GTCCTGGAGAAATCTGTGCTAATATAAACAATGTTGTAAAACTGTGAAACAACATGGCTCTGCAAGCCAAAGTAAATCAGATGTGGCAGGGAGGCACATAACACTGTCAATGGAAAAGCTTTTATTCATATTGATTTATCTATAGTTTAATGCATTTCTGACTTGGTGTTTCGGGGAAGAACTGTATATTCTCCTCAGATGTTGGTCTTGGTCAAATCAAATGAGGATATGCAGTGGCGGCCTTAAGCATGTGGGGGCCCCTTTGAAGAGCTATGGGGCCAACTTAAATGAATTATGCAATTACAGCATCATTGACAGAACAACACAGAATAATCAAACAATGCCCTTAACTGAAAACTGAAACAATGACATTCGATGTATTAGAATATTCTACAGAAAGTAAGCCAGAGAAATACAGCGGAGAATGAAAAGTGTGCCAACCAGCCACACCCTTACGAAATGGAACAATAGCATTACTATAGTATACTATAAGAATTGTATAGTATCCTATAGTAAGTAGTGTTATGTAGTATTCTTCTGTATTGCTATTTTATTAGCTGCCCTGTAATATTATAATAGCAGCCTAATACTATGTATCTAGATCTTTGTAGCATTCCTATATTATTTTAGTATAACCATATATTATAGTGTTTCTGTTTGAACACAAGAACATAGTTATACTATGATAATGTATGGGGCATGTACAGTTTTACTATAGCAACTTTCTATAGTGTATCCAAAAACATATATAAAACACTATCATATCTGTAAGATGGTAAGTGCCTGAAAACCCATAGTAATACTAAATCATGTTGTAAAATAAACACAAATTTATGGCACAAAGATTTGTTGTTGTTTTTTGTTGTTCTCTTTCCCTCCGTGTGCTATTGTGCTCCTCCATCAAGAGAGACCCACATTCTGCTTCTGTATACATGTTTTGTGAGGCCCATTCTTTTACTCAGTACTTTTCAAATATTAGTGTAAGACCTGTAGGCTTCCTGTAACCACAAACACACACCACACACACACTAATATTCAGTTGGTGCACATTTGGTGAATTGTATTATCTGGTTCACTATTATGACTGACAGTAAATAAGATACTTGGATTACTACAATAAGATACTTTCATTACTACATAATGTTGCATTTCACCCTAGGGTGTTCCAACTAACCCAGACAGGTGAATTGTAACATTTTAAACTCCTTGTGTTTGAGACTAAAACATAATTTTCTGCTGTGTAACAGCGGTTACATTATTTAATAGCAGACATCAATAATTATCACGCTAAATGTCAAATCATTATTTATTTCAAGTTTAAATGCTCATTTTACTCCTGAGTGAAAGTGAAGAAACCAGATGGTTAGTTGTGGTTTAAAGTATTCTTTATGGTCAGAACAAACACTTGATGCCAAACAGTGGATCACTTCAAAATCTGGGGTAGAACATTAATAACAATTTTGATAAAATCTTTTTTCAACAAACACGCAAGAGTAAAATAAGTCAAATGTTTTTTCAGTCCATTTTACTCAACAAATAAATATCTTAATAGAAAAAATAACTGCTAATTTGTCTTATTCAAATGAATTAAATCAAACATTTATTGAACATTAATATGCAGAAAACATTTCAGACTTTCAACTGTCACTGTTAAAAGAGAGTCCAGCCTGCAGTGTAGTTAATACACATCATGGATAAACAACTGTAGAGTATATTAGGCTTCAAGTTAAAGGAAAGTTTTTATTCTCTCTCTCTCTGCCTGGTTTAGGGGTACTGAGGAGGTTGCGGCACCACTGTCGTGCAGACTGTCCTGTCTCTGCAAATGAGTGAAATAAGTAAGTCTAGTTATTTTAAAAGTGTGTGAATGTTTTCTTTTTTCGGGGTATATAAAACATTGTTTTACTTACAGTGACATCAATAGGTATTTGGACTGACACAGTTTCTATAGTTTTACCTCTGTACTCAGGGTGTATCTGATATGAAACCATGACTGAGGTCAATGTACAGACTTTTAGCTTTAAGGGTGTTTGAGGTGTTCAAATTAATATGGTAACAGACTCATAGCCCTTTTAACAGCCACTATAATTTTAGAACAGTTTGGCAGGACAATGGCAATATGTGAACAGCTGTAAATGAAAGCTGAAAGTCACCACCTCCAAGCCATTGTTTCTTTTAAGACACACACAATGTATCATTGTCCAAATACTCATGGGTTGCACTGTAACTATGTACATTACTCAAGTACTGTTTATAAGTAAAATTGTACCTACCTGTCTCCTCCACAACATTTCAGAGAGTAATGTTGTACTCTTTCCTCTAATATCAGCTATAGGATAAACTCATGATATACAATACATTGTTAAAGAGAAAACTGTAAAGGAAAGAGTTCTGGCCATTATTTTTTGCAGGTTTGTGTGTGTGTGTATGTGGTCATTGTAGCTACAGATGGTAGGTATGTGTGTGTATGTGTGAGACTCGGCTCAAAAGTCTCTCTTAATTGAAAATACTAAGAACACAATACAGAACATCGTAGGCGTAACTTGGCCAGAAACATTTGTGCCATGACCCTCTGGATTCAACAAGCATCGGCATCGTTCCGATCACCTTGGGAAGCCCAGCTTTACTCACCTTTATTACGAGTTGGTCACTTTGAGCTGAGTGGAGGTGAGGTCAAAACCCCACAGGTGGGTGGGTTGAATACCCCCCAGGTTTTGCTCCACACGTAACCTGGTCCCCCCAAATGTAAATCACAAGCCCCACAGACAGCATGAACAGCATGTTGAGCACCCTTATCGGTCTATTACAGCTAACGAGTATCTTGGCATCCAGGATGTGGGGTGTCAGTGATGGTCATTAAATACTGTCCAGACCCCTCAGCTTTAATTCACCTGAAGAGTGGACAACCAGCAAGGTTCAGGAACAGCGTGAATACAGAGTGCACTCTCAGGCCAGCTATCAAGCTCCAGTTACACATGCAGTCAGCCATGTCCAGCCAGCCATGCCACTGGTGATGTCACAGCCAGTACAGCCCTCTCAGGTGTCTGTCCACCAGCGTCCACCACTCAGCTCACGCGGTGAATGAGCCCCGTCCATCACGCACCAGCTGCAGTTTCTCAACCTACTGTTGGATGTGAATTTCCTCCCGGCCCAGGACCCACAGGAGAACGAGCTGAATCCAGCTGTGATGAAGTGGACATGATGAACCATGTGAATGCTGCCCCTGACTTACAGACTGACATAGACTCCAATCCAGTCAGTTTTCCAGTTGACTCTGAAGAGACAAATACTTCACAGCCCACAGTCAGACTTACCCAAACTTAACTCTGACCAAGTTACTGTTCGAGGTACAGTAACCACAAGGGCAGGCAGAGTGGTCAGGTCAGTCAACCGGCTCATTCAGAATATGGTACAGAAACCTATCACACGGGGTCTGTAGCTAAGATAGCTTTAAAGTCACTTCTTTGTGTGCTTTTTGTTTATTTGAAATGTTTTACACGCATCAGACAAGTAATGAGATCCAAGTGTCATGGCTTGTTGGCTGCACCTTAATGTTCGTCAAGGGTTAGAGGCCTGATCAACCATCTTAACACCTTTTAATCTGTTTAACTGAATTCAAAGATGAGATCTTTGCGGTAAGTGGATCAAAAAGACAAAGGTCTGTTGTCTCACTATAGATCATTAGTGTTAAAGTGCTACTTTTGTGTAGAAAGTGAATCTGTTGAAATTCAGCAGGGGTGAATGTAACAGATTAAATCAGACATAGTTTATTAGTTCCATCCAGTCATTCCTATTATTATTATTTGTTCTATTGGGTCTGCATCTGCATCTCCAACCTGTGTCATCTGGGGTTTATGTATGTGTGTGTGTGTGTGTGTGTGTGTGTGTGTGTGTGCGTGTATGTGTGTGTGTGTGTGTGTGTGTGTGTGTGTGACATGGGTCAAAACTCTTTCCAACTGACAGAGAGAGAGATATTACCAGATCAACACCAAAGACCTGTGACCCAGTACTGCATCCTGCTTCTTCATTGAAAACGACAAGAACACAACACATCATAGGCGTAACAACATCAGCAATCTAATAATGTCATAATATATCAGTCACAGGGACATTTCTTTCTGCAGAACAAGTAGCCAACTTTCACTTTTGATACCAAGTATATTTTGCTGAAGATTACTTACTTTTACTTAAGTAGGATTTTGAATGCAGGTCCTTATCATTAGGTCCCTATCATTATAGTATTATATATATATATATCTTTACACTGTTGTAATGCTAAGGATTTCAGTATTTGTTCCACCACTGATGGTATCCATCACAAAGTACTGTGCAGTCAGATGTAGGCTACCTGCACCTGTACAGTTGTGACTAAACAGTCAGCAAACATAAGATAACCAATGTTTACTTTGTTTGTGCACTTTTCCCACACAATAGACCTGTCCTGGCAGCCAGTATTTTAAAGCACTAAAAACAAAAAGTAAATACATGTCAGTAATGTAACAGTTTTTCAACGTGAGTAGATCGCTGGCTTTCCACTGCTGCAGGCCAGCTCCAAGCAAATTAAATCTCGCAACAAGACAAACTGATGCAATTCAAAGGTGCCTCTCTGCACCTTGACGCACTCGCCTGATAACAGATGACCGTGGTGTTACGTGTCCGCGTCAAGATTACAGACAGTCCCGCCTCCTCTTGATAGACAGGATCAAACACCGCCCCTGAATGTCTCATAACAACAGCTGGCAGCAGGGAGGGAGAGAGAGAGAGAGAGAGAGAGAGAGAGAGAGAGAGAGAGGAGAGAGAGAGAGAGAGAGAGAGAGAGAGAGAGAAAGAGAGAGCAGGGAGAGAGCAGGGAGAGAGAGAGAGAGAAGAGAGAGAGAGCAGGGAGAGAGAGAGAGAGGGAGAGAGCAGGGAGAGAGAGAGCAGGGAGAGAGCAGGGAGAGAGAGAGAGAGAGAGAGCAGGGAGAGAGAGAGAGAGAGAGAGAGCAGGGAGAGAGAGAGAGAGAGAGAGAGCAGGGAGAGAGCAGGGAGAGCAGCAGCCGCACACTCATCTGCCGCCTGGCTCCGTGTAGACATCTAAGCTTTGACTGCTGCTCTCTGTAAGAAAATACACGTAACGACTTCTCCGACGTTCACACAGCCCAAGGCGCATGCTCAGACTAACTGACGGTGCAGTGTTTTATTCAGGAAATCAGAGGTGAGTACAGCAAATGCCAGCCACAGCTAAACGCAGTGAAATCTGCGCCTGTACTTTGTGGCTTTTTTTTATTTTTTATTTTCGCATCAAAGCCAGCTAACGGGTTAGCTTTGCCCGAATCACTTTTGGCCGCCCTTCTCATCAATGTCAAACAGAAAGAGCAGAGCAGAGTCTGTTTGAGCGGACTGTTAGCTAGCTTTCACAGTCCAGCACAAAGCGGGACGTTTGGTAACGTTAGGGGGGTTTCTTTGCTGTTAGCTTGTAAAGATACTTTTACAGTACCTTAAGCTAATCTCTTAGCGCTCGTATCGGGTTTCCTTGACCAGCCCTTTATGTTTATACAGCCGAAGATGACGCTTTAACATAAACTACAGCCTGAAATCAGTGACAGTTATCGTTAGCGCAGTATTGTTGAGGTACACGTCGACTCACTCTCTCAAGACTGTCCTGACGCAACAAAGCCTGTTACAAGTTATGTTCAGCCCTTTTCTTCCTCAGTTGTTGTTGTTGTTGTTGTTTTAGTAGTGCAAGTTTCCCTATTGTTTGGCTGTGAATCTTTCCAAGCCAGAGCACCCCTCAGACCCCAGTGGACCCAGTTCACCGACACCTTGTCCCCCGGTGAAGGCATCTGCTAAATAAACATGCATAAGAGTGACTGAAAATAGGTCTACATGGTATTCTTATCGAAAGGGAATTAAAAAAACAAACACAGTGAAGCTTTTGTCTTGACATGTTTTGACACGGTGTTAGTGGCCCTGTTGACAGTCCTTCTTTCTGCCTCTGCATGCGAATGTCATTTGCATTTGTGGTGGCACCAAGAACAAGAAAGCTGACCCCCCTCTGCCTTTCCTTCCTGCAGACCAGCCTCTCCGCTGACAGTAGAAGAACGATTAGTGTCAGCACGGGAGAAGAAAAACCCCACTGGCCATTAAAAAGACAAGGCCTAACAATCCACTAAGGCAGACATTCATGAGATTTTCCCCATATTCACCGATTGGCTCATATGGTTGTTTTTCTTGTTTGGCCTCTTAAGCTCGTTTGTGTGTGGCCCCATGCAACAACCAAACAAAGATTTAATTATATGCTCTGTAACTATAGCCTAGTAGTGACCCCGTGTTAAACTGGTTTAATGGTTTTTGTCTTGCTTTTGACATAGTTCTTTGACTTGCGAGGCTGTATTGCCATAACATGGTACATTACATACTAGTTTGGATCCTCATTATGAACACACTGGTCTAACCTTGATGCCCACCCCGCTCCCCCGCCTCATCCTCTACTCCCTCTGATTGTAGTTTCAGAACACCATGGGAAAATCCCTGCTTTAGATTTATGAAGATGATTAAACTGTTCTCTAAACTGGATCTGTTCTGTTGCATACATTTTGAATTTTCCTTGCTGTCAAAGCTGAGCACAGCAAACACAACCTCTTTTAAGTTATTAAACACTCATACTGCTGTTTCTTTTTGTTTAATGAAGAACACTAAATTTCAGTTTTCTTCAGGGATAGCATCGGGTTGTCTTTGTGTTTGACCTTACATTTTCAAATTGAGCCCCTCAGTATGTGTTACTTTGTACTTCTTTCTACTTCTCCACAGACACTGAAAAGTTTTAAAGATGACAACTTCATGGAGTGATAGACTGCAGAACTATGCAGACTTGCCTGCCAACATGGACGGCCTGACAATGAAAAAATACAGAAGAGAGCCATACCACAGGTAAGAAACGTGTTGAGGTACTAGGTGCATTTCTAAGTATCTGAAACTACATCCAGATGGGATACTTGAGCATTTTTGTTTACACAAATTGAGCAGCCAGACAAAAGAATTTTCCCTTCTGTTGTGTCGTAAACATGAATTACAGTGAAATGCAACTACTGGGGTGGGTAAAAAAAAAAAACCTTGATATTAAGGAAGGAATTACAGTCAGTCAGCCCATACACAAGCAGGCCATATTTCAAAAAGGTGAATTTGTAATAACAAGAAATGGATATATTTTTTTGGAACAATTACAAAAATCTCCAAATAAACTGCATCAACAGCAGGAATAGTTTTTTGGAAATCAAAACTTGGTTTGGCAGACTCAAACAAAATAGCTAGCATCAAACTGCCATGTAAGTGAATCTGAAGATTTTCTTCTGAACTTTCATACATCCTCTACACTGTTACTTTTTTATTGTCATTATAACTGAGTGAAATGTCACTGACCAACCAGATCACTGTGAAAATAATATTTAGCATTACAGGCTTTTACAATAGCCCAAACATTATAGAAAGTTTCTCTTCCAAAGGCATTTTTATTTTATACATTTTTGATGTATTAGTAATTAATATTATTGCTATTATTTCTGAATTGATTTGTCACTTAAGTTTGTGAACTTGAATTGGGATATAAATAGGTTTTGCTGGCTGAGATTTCATGTCCAATCGATTGTTTCTTGGGTGTGCTTTTCTGTCTGTTAAGCAAAATATACACCCTTCTTTCTGTAGACAGGAAACACCCTGTAATCACACTGGCTGAAAGGCTGATGTAAGGAGGCATTTTCTCCTTGTCAGAGTAATAAAACTTGTGTTGCTGTTCAATCTTTAACTCTGCCTGAGACGTGCGTGTCCACTGGGCACTGCTGTTCTTTTGCAGCCTTATATAATAAGCAATGCTCACAGGGCTTATGAAACTGCCACTCATCTGTTAGCTCTGTGTTTGCTGTGCTGACATAAGTCACCCAGTCCATGATCCTCCCAACCCCCAATCCTTTCCAGACACACTCACGCATACAATCAGACGTGCAAAGATAACAAAGATGGTATTGAGCTCACTAAACAGTATACTTGTGACGGCAGATCTGTTTAATTAAATTTACCATGGCTGCTTGGTCTCTTTAATCATGTTGTTTTTTTTAATGTAAGAGACCATTGAAGGTGACCTTTGGTTTGTCTCACAGACAGAGAAAGACAATTCCTTCAAAGTAAGAGCTCAGCTGAAGCAGTGCAGTCTGATAGTGAGCTGCGTGTCACATAGCAGAGGGCTGAAGACTCTGCCCAGCACAGATAAACTTTCTATCACACTGACTCCAATCACTGTCTTTGTGAGATTAGAGAGCATTGGAAAAAGTCTGGCCGATTGTCACACAGCTGTGCTCAGATGGAGTAAAAGTTTTGAAGGGATTCTGTCGTAGATGTGGTGTTGCCCTTGTGGGCTATTTAAAGGCAGTAGTTTTATCAGCAGGACCAAAGCTGAGGCTGAATCAGGTAATGACGTCACTCCCACCCACTGCCAGTATGGGTGTGCTTAGGAGAGGCACGACCTTACTTAAGTTATCATTATGGATGTCCTTTACTACTCCTCCCACAGGCATGGAGCAGGAGGTCACATATAAAATGATAACGGCACAGTGAAATAGAAGAGCTTGAAAACTGGGAAAGGCTTGTGTTCACTCAGTGCTGAGAAACACACAATGTAATGTAGTGCATTTGTTTTGATTGGTCAGGAGGACCTCTGCTTTGGACAGGTCTACATTATATGGAAGCTGAATAAGGCCAAATAATCTAAGCAATTGAATACCTACATAAATAACCAGTGCTAAATACCTAATGTTGAAGTGCACACACCGCTGAAATGAAAGCATTGAAATATTTTAATATTCAAGTTTTGCTATTTGAAAAACTAGATTTTTCCGAATTCATGAGTTCAAATGTTTTGGGTTTAAAGTCTTTATTTTCATGGATCATAGGACTGACAGAACATAATATCATTTCTGGCTCAGGCTTGATTGCTTATCCTCACTAGTTTCAAAGTTTTGAAATTTTCATTTTAAATTTTGGCTCACTCCAAATTTTTAAATTTCTTTTTCATACATTTTTATTTCAAAATTACTAATGAATTTGAATTTGAGCATTTTGAACATTTTTTGAATATCGAACACAATTTTTTTATTTACTAGTGATTAAATGTCACAATCATGTTTTCAGTTGCCTGTTTTTGCTTCCCTACATCCATAAAAAAAATAGAAAAAAATCTGCTTCTTCTCAGAAACAAGTCAAGTTATTGTGCAAATGTTTAGATTGAATCAGATCTCATATGGTAAGCAGCTGTTGCTTGGGGCCGGGGCTTGCTTGATTCTACCTGACTTGTGATTGTTCTGGATATCTTTGAGGGCCCACAAACATCATGCACAACAACAACCCTGACTGACACACAACAACAGAGAATGACGGGGAATGGCCACAATCATTTTTGCAACAAGTCAGAAAATTTCTGAATGGCAAGAAAGCAAAGCGGGGGGGGCGGGGGGTATTGTTTGTGGGCCAGAGCTGCCCATGAGAGCAGGTCGGACTAACTGAGAGTCAAACTGAGGTTTAATTTCGCACAGAATGCATCGCCAGTCGTCTACTGGACTAAGATCTAAATGGCAACTTGTTCACTATGGATCTGCTGCCAGGTATTTCACAACTGATTGAAGAGATTGGTGAAGATGAAGGTCATTATTTAATGGCAAGAAACCTAGGCTGTCAGTCAGTTTCGAGCTTGTGTATCAGATTATTGTGCTAGTTAACAGTGATGTTACCTTGTTTTTGCTTCAGTGTGACATTTTTGTTCTCCCTTTTTAGCTCATTTACATCTTATTTCTAGCATGACTAACTATTGACTGGTGTGGAAATATCTAGGAACACAGCTACAGACACAGATGTTGAAGATAAGCTATGTATTGTGCCACCAGTTATGTTGATGTAAATAATAGTGATATTAAGTACGCTTGTGATATTCAGCGTTTCACTGTACTTTGTTCCAGTTTTTTCAGATATTGTCAAAACTGATAATTTAGCTTTTCCTAAGCTAAGTTTGCAAGTCACTAAGAAGTACCACCAACATTGTAACAGATCTAAAATAATATACTTCACAAAGCAAACAGTCAATCTGCAACTTCCAGCAATGAATGTGTAGAATGACGTGTATTAATAGTCATCATGGCTATTGCGATCATGGTTATCATTGTGTTGTTTCTTTAAATTTGCCCTATATTGTTTCATTAAGTGCGGGACTAAATTTAACTTTGCTATCTTTCTTTAATGGATGCTGAAAACTTTAGAATTCTTGCAATGTAATGTCACACAATTTATTATTTTAAATACAAATGTCACATAATGAAAACATAGGTGAAAAACAAACCTTTGATGTTATTGTTGCCAGATAATTAAATCTGCTTAACGTGGAACCCTGTTGGGTTCATGCGGGTTCAACTTGTGACACAGTAAGACATGGAATGTCACTGTTATTGTTATTAGCCGAAAAGTGACGAGAGGCTGACTTGGATACATTTTTGATATAAGCAGCACATAATGTCAACACTAATAATAATAGTTATGAATGCAAATGACACATAGCTTGAGGGCTATTTTAATGTCAGAATGTCTATAATCTCCCTGTGTCCACTCACTGACAGAAGTATATGCAGTAACAATATAGGATCATCAAATTGCTTAATCCCACTAATACTTGAAGTACTGAACATGTGCACATTTCCTTGTGTAATTAACTTATTGTGTTGTAGCAGTGTTTTTGGTACATTTTCACACTACCAGCTTTTTTAAAGTACTGAATAGACCCACTATATCCCACAATCTGGGTTATAGTAGGTCTATTCATTTGGTGAAACAGCTCAAATAAATATATTCTGCAGAGCACAGTGCAGCCTGCCAGAATAAATGCTAATCTTATTATTGAATATTGCATTGCAACTGAAACATTTTCTCAACTTTTTTTTTCTCTAGAGTGTTTGTCAACAGAAGCTTGGCAATGGAGAAGATAAAGTGCTTTGGCTTTGATATGGATTACACTTTAGCAGGTAAGTTGAATACAAACTCACCTTACTAATCACCAGTATCGAAGCAGTTGCTTTATGATTTAGTTGATCTTTTTTGAAAATTTTGACTTGGAAAAAGTACAAATCATTTGCTGGTTACTGCCTCTTAACAATGAGGATTTAATTTTTTTTTCTTCTTTTGTCACTTCCTTGTTGTTAATTGAATTTTAAAGTGAAAATAGACAAATACATTAATTGGTAGTTAACAACAATCATTTGTTCCAGCCGCGCACACGGTACTACTACTACTACTACTACTTTTAAATGTTCAGTATGCGGCCCCACTTGGCTAGAGGGTTGCATAGAAATCCTCAGTTTACATACGTTGTCCTTCCTGTTGTCATATTAATAATGAAGACTAGTACAAATAAGCAAGTGTCACTTGTTAGTCCAGCCCAACAAAAACGTTAAGAGACAGTAAATGCATCCACTGAAGTCAATCAAAAAATATGCATTGATCAAAAAGAGAAGAAAATAACATTTTATTAATACCTGGGTAGATTTGTATTTTGACAGAGTATGTATTTTCTGATTACCTTTTGAATCTGAAAAAAAATCCATAGTTGTTGAAAAAGGTATATAGTGTCCTGACTTTTCAACTCTGGCTACCCTACCATCCCCCCAGGCCTGCAGCTTGTTGTCTACAAAATATTATTTAGGTCAATGCCAGTGACACATCAAGCACAATATAACACTTTGATAACAAAATGCTAAGCATAGCTCTCTGGTACACAAAGTGGATTGCATGGAGATGCTCTTTTTCCTACTGACCAGTAACTGGGCCAAATATATCCAGATTTTTCATGCTACTTTGTTCTGTGACTCAGATCCAGTTTTTGGTCTCTCCATTTCTAAAAATAAATCCTCCCTGACTTTGAAAAGCAGGTCGCGTTTGTTTGTTGAGTTCACCACTGATGGCTCCCTTGAGAACGGGGATCACTCGTAGTCCCTGTCTGGCTCTGTACCTCTATCCCTGTTCAAAATGCAGAAGATTTCACAGACGCTCAGCTGTTGACATGACTCTGTTTATGGGCGCTCATAACCAAGTGTTAATGTTTGCTTGAAGCTAGCTATCATGTATCTTTGGATGGTGTTCAGGTTTTGACCACAGAAATACTTTATCATCTCCAGGGAGCTGGTTGTGTCACAGAGTGGCTGCTGCTTCGCCACAGCCCCCTGCACTGACTTCAGGATTTGTTTTTAGGGGGAGTTCAGACGTGCAAAGTGTGCTTTTAAAAAAATCCTTAGCACTTAATTTCTGTATGAAACTGTAACTATTAAATGTTCACAGTATGGCAATGTGCCGAAAACCAATTTGATGATTGTGTATATCCTGAAAAGTTGTTTGAGGCATGAGAAAAATGTTGGCAGTGCTCATACCTCGTATGTAATAGTTAAACTAACGGATGTTTAAACCTCCAAAGCCACCATATTAACTGGTAGCAATGTGTTTTATTCCAACCAGCAATGATTGGTTTGCCAGAGCTGAAGAAGGGAAGCAACTGTAACGACCATAGCATCTCAGTATGGCAGAGCCGATATGTCACAAGCTTGTGTCCACAGAGTTGCATAACTACTGTTGCTGTCAGAAGGGGGAGACAAAAGTTCTGCACAGTAGATTTAAGTAAAAGTTTCTCAGTTCTTTGATGTTTACTTTTAAAGTAGTCATGATAGAAACATGCTGATGCACATGTCCTGATGCAGGTAAATATTCTACATGCTAGTGCCTTATCTGTTGTTTTTCTACAGCACGGTTGGGTAATGTGATTATATATACACTGATCAGCCACAACATTATGACCCCCCCTTGCCTAATATTGTGTAGATCCTCTTTTTGCTGCCAAAACAGCCCTGAACTGGCATGGATTCCACTAGACCTCTGAAGGTGTGCTGTGGTATCTGGCACCAAGACATAATTCCCCAGATCTCAATCCAATCGGGTATCTGTGGGATGTGCTGAACAAACAAGTCCAATTCATGGAGGCAACTTACAGGACTTAAAGGATCTGCTAACGTCTTGGTGCCAGATACCACAGTACACCTTCAGAGGTCTAATGGAGTCCATGCCTCGACAGGTCAGGACTGTTTTGCTGGCAAATGGGGGACCTACACAAGGTAAAGCATGAGATCATAATGTTGTGGCTGACCAGTGTATATACAAGACAATACATAAACCGTTTAGTAAGAGTTTAAGTCAAAAATTATACTTGTGCAAAATATCAGTAAAATCCTTTAAAGCCGCTGAAAACTTAAATATCCTTAATAATTCATGACTAAATAAGCAAAAATAAAGTGAAAGTTCAAGGGGAAAAATGCATCAGTATTAGTTAATCTGGATTTTGATTCAAATACTGTATTTGTAAACTGTGGTTGGTGCACAGAGGTACATGACGGCACATTTTATTCAGTTGAGCTCCACCTTGTTCAAATCAGTAAGACACAAACAGCATAGTCCGAATTCTCTCAATTCAAGTTATCTGTTTAAACTTTGACAGAATTTTGTGTAATTGTGGGACTCCAAGGCTCATATTAAGAAGCTGATTGAGAAAATATGTTTTCAGTTTTATACAGTATATCTCTGTGTCTTACATCATTTTGGGCAATGTGATGATGTATCATCACACTAATTTGTTGGATTTACATTAACAACAACATTCCTGTGTATTTATTGTTTCTCAATAGATTTATCAGATAATTCACTATAACCACACATACCGATGTCGCTTATTACAATAGAGGATTTTCTCTATACTGCCCACTCCTGTTGCAGTGTTGTATGCAGTTTCACAACTTTTGATTGCATTATATAGCAACACAAAAGAAAAAGAAATCTAACCAGTGATGTTATTAAACATTGACATTTTGAGCAATAAGTTTATTCGACACCTTATCAAGTTTAAGAGGTGTGTATGAAGGTAAACAGAACATGGCCCAGGATGCTGATGGTGTACTCCTGTTGTTTCATGGTGCTAGGATGCATCTTAAGTCATCACCCACCATATAAAGATCAAAGATTGGGCTTCTCCAAAGTCCCTAGTGCTGAAACCTGTACAACAACAAGTGCATGCATACATGTCACATGGTAAAATTTTGAAAGTTATGGGGGTTGTGTGGTGTGGGGACAGAGAGGACCCAAATGCTATGTTCGTAGGGAAGGAGGTTTATTGAGGGAGAAAGGGGTAGAGGGACTAGAGTGGAGGAAGAGGTAGATGTCGGGGAAGCACAGGCACGGGGAACCAAGGAGACAGAGGGGGCCAGGGAGCCGGGGAACACAGGGGCCGAGGAAGCGAGGAGAGGTGGGAGAACAGGGAGGACGCCGTGAGGGAAGTCTGAGGAGGAGAGGGCCGGTGGATGAGCCCAGCCGACTGAATGGAGGACGAGGGTGAGTGAACCTGGGAGGGAAACAGACAGAGAGACAGGGTTAGGGATGACGGCGACAAGGCACAGGGAAAATGTGAAAAAAACAAGAAACATGAAAGCCTGAACACAGAGGTGGCACCGGGTACGGAGCAACAACGATCAAGCGAGGATGGTGTGGAGAACCGGGGTTGAAATACAGGAAGCCATGAGGTGATTACTGGCAGGTGTGGCAGGCTGACGAGGTGGCTGATGAGATGCAGGTGCAAGGAGTTGGCTGGGCTCAGGAGCAGAGGGAGAGAGAGAGCACACAGGGGAGAAAACACAGGGAGGCAGGCAGGGAACAGAAAACCAAGAAAAAAGCGGAATAACTGATAAAAAGGAGAAAAAACCAGGACACTCACCGTCAGCCACCACAACACTCTGTGAACTAAATCAACATTGAATGAGACAACATTGCCTCATCTGTTCTTTGTGCTCTAAAAGGGAGCACATGATGGCCTGCAGAAAATATTGCTCAAACACACAATTAGGCCCAGATTGTACAGAGAGATACACACAGTTTTGTCCTAGTTTTCCAACAGACTTTTGGCTGAAGTGTAGGGCCCCAGGGCTGTGCTTAAGTTTTTTTCCACAATATGCTTGATAGTGCCATAAATCTGTGACAAAGGCCTACATCTGAATATTAGTGGCTACAGATAAATTAAGACTAATATCTAAGATAGATTGCAATGTGACATGGTTCAGATAAAATCTCAACACTTTATATGATTTGGATTTAGTGGTCTATTAGTAGAAGAGTGCAGGTTGTTTACCTTGTGTGTGAGGGGTGTACATTACAGGCCTGAAGTCATCAGAGGCCTGTTCCAGAATGCAGGTTTAAGATGTCCAGCTTGTTTAACTTGCAGGAGATTTTTGCGTACACCTTATCATTGTGGGTCGTCGTTTCCAATGCCGATGGATTTCGTCCAACAACAAAACAAACTCTACATGCAATCAGTTTGTCGTTTCAGAATTTTTAAAATGGTGCCTGAAATAAAATGCTCCCGAGTACTCGACCAATCAGAAATGTTCTGTGCTGCAAGCTCCCAAAGTTGTTGTTATTTTAAGTATACCCCCTAAACATTTTTGGGGGGAAACTTAATTTAGACCCTGGCCCCTTGGGTGGAAATGCACTCCAAAGGTTCCTAGTCCTTGGGGAAAGTTCCTGTGGTGCAAACACTGCTAAACTCTGACTCTATCCCTGAACTCTGAGTTGACTAACCCTGAGATGGGAAACTGAAGAGTTTTCGGTACTAGTTCCAGAACAGATGATCTGAGTTAGTTCAATCATCTCGAGTATGTTCACTCTGAGTTAAGCCAGGTTAAGCACGAGCATGAGGAATGGGTAAATAAAGCGCAGAACCTCCATTAGCCTCCATGTAAATCCAGTGGTGCTAGAAATATGAATGTATGCCATGTGGACCATGACATTTAAAAAACGGAAGTGGAGAAAGTAGTCAGTAATTTCCTAATGGATGCCGTAACCTGGTGGGGACAAAATGCAGGTGGCTGCAAGTGAAGATGAAAATATGGATCAAACAGCGAAGACATAGTTTACTTATTTATTTTATGATTGAAAAGTCACATTCTGACCCACTAATAATGAATTTGCAGTTGAAAAGGTGTCTAGTTTCAAACTGACTGTACATTTTAGATGTCTATTTTACGTGTGTAAATATTTCAACATAGTCACTCAAATGCTTTCAAAACATGTTAAGACTAAATTCAGCCTATATTCAAAAAACTCACTTTTGAAATGCATTTTATCAAGTTTTACAATCTTAAAGTTGTTTCAGCTGCACCACAGTCATCCTCACTCAGAAATATTCACATAATCTCCAACATGATATGCCTTCTTGGAGTCTCTGGGTTGCATCCTGGAAAGGATTCCAGATATGGACTCTAGTTCTACTTGGAGACTTCAAAGCGTACATAGGCAACAATGGAGAAACCTGGTGGGGGGTGATTGGGAAGAACGGCCTGCTTAATCTAAATGGAAGTGGTGTTTTGTTATTGGACTTCTGTGCTAGTCATGGATTGACCATAACAAACACCATATTCAAGCATAGGGTGAGTCATTAGTGTACTTTAGTACCAGAGTATCTTAGGTCTTGGAGTGGAACCTTCAGCACGCACTTGGGCGGTTTGCAGCTGAGTGTGAAGTGGCTGGGATAAGAGTCAGCATCTTCAAGTCCCAGTGGATTGAGTTTCTGCCCCAAGGGAAAGGAGTTTAAGTATCACTGAATTTATGGTAAAATGGAGCATGAGATTGACAGGAGGATTGGTGTGGCCTCAGTAGTAATGCACGTGTTGTACCGGACTGTTGTTGTGAAGAGGGAGCTGAGCCAGAAGGCAAAGCTTTTTGATTTACCAATTGATCAACATTCCAACCATGACCTATGGTCATAACTGTGAGTGATGACCGAAAGAACGAGATTGCCGATACAAGCAAGTGAAAATACCTTTTTCTGTAGGGTGACTGGGCTCAGCCTTTTAGTTAGCAGGAGTTCGGAGTAGGGCCGCTGTTCCTTCTCGTCAAAAGGTGATGTTTTCCCAGGCATGTCCAACTAGGAGGAGGCTGGGCTGGATCCAGAATTGGCTGGATCAGGGATTATATTTGTCATCTGGCCTGGGAACGCCTCGGGGTCCCCTAGGAAGAGCTGGAAAATGTTGCTGGGGAAAGGGACATCTGGAATACTTTGCTTAGCCTTCTGCCGCCTGACCCAATCTCGGACAATCTGAATAAAATGGATGGAAGAGGAAATAAAATGGTGTGTCAGATAGCTCCTTCAGGCCTAGCAGGTGGGGAGGAGTCAGAGAGAAAGTCGGAGTTTGTTGAAGGAAACTCTGGCGAGCTACCCCACACATCAGCAATAGGAGCAGCTCATGTATAATTAACTGTCAACAATCTCATCAGAAATACAAAGTAACAGAACCCTGAACCTAAGGGCTGCTCCTCGCCTCAGCTCTAAGGAGGTGTGTGTGTGTGTGTACATACACATGCATAGTGACAGTGTTAGAAATGTGAGAAGGGGTTTACAGCATGGAACTACTGCTCATGCCTTCGAACATGTGAAATAGTGGGGACGTCTAGAATTACTTTTGAAAAGGATACAATGTAGGTCATGGGTTTCATGTGTCCGTGTGGAGTTGTTCAAGGTTTTCGGAAGTAAATGGTTTTAGTGTCATTAAAACGTCAAAACAACAACCAAAAACAGCTAAAGACAAAGATTGTGGTCAGTGTTGGATTCTGCAGTGTTTTTCCAAGCCTGTCAAAGTTTTCGTTGTCACGTTTGATTTCCTGTATTTGTGTTTATCACTTATCTGAACCAGTCCTTTGTAAGTAATGTCGATAAAATCTGATCAAACCATACCCACAGACTCCTGATAAAGCGTATTTGCAAGTTTTTAAACTCCTTAATAAATAATGTAATAGAAGAGTATTAAATGTTTGAAACCGAGATAGCAGGGGTTCTAAAGTCATGTTAAGAATACATTTTTATTTAGTTTTTTAAGTTCTTAAGCAACACTGTAACAAAGTTTTTTTTCCCAAACTTTATTTTGTGGGTTGCACATTTAGTCATATTTATCAATATTTATTATTATATATTTTTTTTATAGGTATTTGAAAAAAAATGTTGTGTAATAATTGTGTAGCAAAAAACCCTCCTGATCCTAAATGATTAGCCTTACTCACTTTTATATTGAGACGGGATTTTATATATCCTAGAGTAAGTTGTGAGAGTGTAATACACCAGTGTCCCAAGGTCAACATGTGAAAAGAGCTGCCCAGTGAGCTAAAGAAAGAGAGTGATGATACTAAAGGTGACAGAGGGTGAAAAATGAGCAAGGAGGCGGAGGAAAGGCAGTTTAGTTGGTGTACGCTACTGCTCTGGGCAGAGGGCCCAAACCCTCAGTTTGCTGGGAGACACAGCGGGGGGCGGGGGTGGGGGTGAACTGCAAGAGGTTACGTGATTATAATGCAGAAACAGGCTTACAGAGTAGGAGTGTCAACAAACGGACCAAGCTTTACTGAAGATTTTCCTGTAACTCAGTGCATACTCATTATGCTCCTGTAACCCAGCATTAGACACAAGTGCACACATTTTGCAGAGTAGGACACAGATGTTTTCCTGTGTATCCTGCAGTGCTGTTCCCCCACATTTGTCCTCTTTCTAAGCATCATCAGCCAATATTTCTTCCCCTCCAGTGGCCCTCCACCTCCCCACTGGGAGTGTAGAAAGCATGCAACAACACAAGCGCATTCTCCGTTTTGTATTATAACATCTGACTTACTCTTTTCCCAGTGTCAGATAGCATTTTAATCCTATGCCAGCCTTTTCTTAGCCTAGCATCAATCAGTGTTTTATTTTCAGGGCCCACCCCTGGCCTCGGTTTTGGTTTGGCCCCGGGGTAAATATCTGGCTCTGGCGGTGACAGGGTGGGAGCGCGTTGTTCTGGCAGGGCTCATTAGAGTTGCTGCTGAAAGTTGAGTGACTTTTCATTTTCACGCCTGATCCTGTTTCCTTGTGGATTTACGTGCAGAACATCAAGGCCCTTATTAATACCGTGGGGTGGGGGGTACTACTGTAGAGTGAGAACATCCTGTTATCAAAATACTGAGACAACATCACAGGCCCTCAGTGGATGAGGTAGCCTTAAAAAAGTCACATGTATATATTGCGTAACATGAGTGAGCTCCCCAGACAGTGACGTCCCAAAGGTCTTATTTAATATTTCCTCGCTCTTCGACCCTCCCTTGAACCGAAAGTCCTTCTGCTCTGAGGAGCGAGGAGGGATCTCTGAGGAGTCATGAGCGACCCTGTACTGGATATCAATCATTGATTGGACGCTGCAGCTGATCTGATACATCACAACATCACTGGAGTTTCATACCGGAGTTTCTCCCAGTAGAAATGATTCCTGTGCCTCTGAGCAGGACAGTACACAGTATAAATCCAGAACGCAGGTTGTTATTTATGTGCAGGTGTTGAAGGTGTTTGTTAAACATGTAAAGAGAGAAAACACTGCTCCTCCGGCAGTTATAACTGTGAGCCTTTATTAGTATTGGAGTGCACAAACTCCATAAAAAGTCTGCTGTTAAAGCCGACTGACCACTGATCCAGCTGTGATCAGCTGCCACTGTCATCAGAAACGGACTTATTTTATGTGACGTTTATTACAAAGGGACGTCTCATTTCTCTCCAAGAATGTTTCCTTAGTTCTTCTTTCCTCACATGGTTTCCTTGATTACATGTTCTACGAGCTCTCCTGGCAACCTTTTTCAAGTTTTAACTGTCTGGACCAAATCTGGACATATGTTGCCATTATTTGATTTGTTTTATTATTTCTGTATTGTTTTATCTCTCTCTCTCTCTTGCTCTCTCTTGATTTGTTGAACCATCCACTCATGCTGTGTAGAAGCTAGATAATGAACAAACACTAACATACCAAGCTTATCAAGCTGTAACAGTGATTAAAGCAACTGAAGACATAGCATTGCACAATCGTCAACATTGCACAAATGTCGACACCAAAATCTGTGGCTTCAACAGGAGATTGGACACCAAACTGTACAAACTGTATATTGTGCTCTTTTGTTGGGGGGAAATGTGGTAACCTGTCTGTACGTGTGTGTTTAATTTCTAGTGTACAAGTCACCGGAGTACGAGTCACTAGGTTTTGAACTCACAGTGGAGCGGCTGGTTTCCATCGGCTACCCCCAGGAGCTGCTCAGCTTCGTCTATGACCCGTCCTTTCCCACCAGGTCAGACCAGTCGCACCCCACCACGCAGATATCATGATGATGACGATGGCCATCAGGTCAATGGCAAACTGCTGCTTCTATTACCTCTTATAATTGTAGCCCTTCAACCTAAACTCAGTGGAAATACAGTATCTCACAAAAGTGAGTACACCCCTCACATATATGTAAATATTTGATTATATCTTTTCATGTGACAAAACTGAAGAAATGACACTTTGCTACAATGTAAAGTAGTGAGTGTTCAACTTGTATAACAGTTAGGGCTGAACGAAATCGTTTTCAAATCAAAATTGCTATTTGAATGAACGCGATTAGCTAATTGTGAAGACTGCGATTAAAATGTAGGTTAATTATACAGCGCATCTGACCCGTTTTAAACAGTCGTGCAGTTACAGATTCACTCCGTTGTCATCCTTGTGTGACAGAATTTCTAACCAATCACAAGCACCATACGCCTCCTGTTAGAGTCCTACTCACCAATCAGAATGGGCACACAGTGTGTACATTTTACAACAACAAACGAAACCAGAGGAAAACGTGGGATATTGGCGTCAGACGAACAGACACAGGGAGCGGCTGTGCCATGACTTTGTCCTTTGTCAACTCACATTGAAGTGTTTCAGCAGCGGAGTGTTTAGCCTGCCCTACGTTGTTGACGTGCTGTTAATTTGTCATTTTGTGTGCTTCAACTATGGATAACAGCTCTCTGTGAACTGGTTTTGTGCTGGTCTCCGCAGGCTACATATTGCACATGGAATATTTCAGAATAAGAGCGTTTTTTCTGCCTGAATTTGCTGACTTGTTCAGATTTTGTTAATTTGTTCAGCTGTCCTTGATGGTTGTGCTTCTATCATGATTAGTAGGCTACGTTGTTAAATAGTTTGTTTTTTGTCTATTTTAATGTTACTGTTAATTGTTGATATACAATCGGGAGTCAGCACAGGTGTCTTTTATTTTGAAAATCGACCAGATTCTCTATGCCGTCTGACTTCCTGTCCGGTTCATCTGCTCTGTTCTGCTTGACGCAGCTTCCATCAAAAATAGATTGGCAGGGAATTTTGAAATATATCTGAACTTTTTTCTTCCAAAATAATTGCAAATCGAATCATAATTGCAATATCTGGCAGAAAAATTGCAATTGTTTTCCCCTAATAACTGTGTAAATTTGCTGTCCCCTCAAAATAACACATCACACATCCATTAATGTCTAAACGCCGGTTAGACTTTAAGTGAAAATGTCCTAATTGGGTCCAAAGTGTCAAAAGTTTGTGGCCACCATTATTTCCATCACTGTCTTAACCCTCATGGGCATGGAGTTCACCAGAGCTTCACAGGTTGCCACTGGAGTCCTCTTCCACTCCTCCATGACGACATCACGGAGCTGGTGGATGTTAGAGACCTTGCGCTCCTCCCCCTTTCGTTTGAGGATGCCTCACAGATGCTCAGTAGGGTTTATGTCTGGAGACATACTTGGCCAGTCCATCACCTTTACCCTCAGCTTCTTTTGCAAGGCAGTGGTCGTCTTGGAGGTATATTTAGGTTCGTTAACATGTTGGAATACTGCCCTGCGGCCCAGTCTCCGAAGGGAGGGGATCATGCTCTGCATCAGTATGTCACAGTACATGTTGGCATTCACGGAACTGTAGCTCCCCAGTGCCGGCAGCAATCATGCAGCCCCAGACCATGACACTCCTAACATCATCCTTGACTGTAGGCGAGGCACACTTGTCTTTGTACTCCTCACCTGGTTGCCGCCACACACGCTTGACACCATCTGAACCAAACTATTCCCGGATGCTCTGCTCTGATTGGACTCTCTCACTCTGGACCCCAGCTCTGTACAGCAGGGTTCGGGTTCGGCACGCATCTATTTTCA